CAAACACCAGTCCGTGCGTCTGTGCCCAGCTGGCTGCATCTGAGCTTGGGGGTTGGGAGGGGAGTGGAAGTTATGGTAATTGGTCTATGTGGGGCCCAAGCAATGGCATTAGTACTTTCTAGACGACTTCATCCTTGCTCATAGCTTCAATTACCTACTAATGATTCACAAATTAAATCCTACAATTCTCTTCTGAGATCAAACTCATAAACACAACTGCCTACAAGGCATCTCCCTCAAGATGTCTCAAACTCATCACATGCAAAGTGAATTGATTTTTCCCGCTCCCAAACTGCTCCTCCTCCTTAGGGTTTATCTCAAGGAATGGTGACATTGAAGCGCACGCACACGCGCGCACACACACACACACACACACCCCTCTCCTTTACCACCACCCATCTCAAACCATACCTCCTCCCCCAAACCCCCTCAAGTTTTCTCTCTCATATCTCTGGAATCCAGCCATTTCATGCTATCTCCATTACTATCATGGAAATCCAAGCCCCTATTATCTCTCACTTGGACAACTAGTCTACAGGTATCTTTATATGCTCTATTATTATAATTCTGTTCCACATGCCAAGGCAAGAGTGATCGTTTCAAAACATATAACTAAGCCACTTCCTTGCTTAAAATCCTTCAATAGGTTCCTGGCTGTTTGAAGAATAAAAATTAAACTACTGAAGCTTTTGCAATGTCTGGTCCCGGATTCCTCTCCTCTGATCAACTGCCATCATGTCTGGGCCCACCACAGAACCTCTGTGTATGCTATTTCAGACACTATGTTCTTCTTCCTTGTCTCTTCCCCACAACTAATTAAAAGCTGTTCATTTCTCAGAGCTCAGCTAAAACAACACTTCCTCAAAAAAGCTTTCCCTGATCCCCAAACTTAATTAGGTTTACCTAGCACAGTGGCTTTCAGGAGTATTTTTTATTTGGGGGACTATAGGTACATACTAGCACTCAAGAATTTTTTTACTGTGACCCATAGTACACTTTGTGACCATTCATATTCATGTATATGGCATGAATGATGAATCTCACCACTACTATACATTACATAGGTATTTTCTATTATTTTACCTAAATGTATTAGGTTTCCTTGCTTGGAAAAAAAATTCTAATTCATAATCTCATAAAACTATGCCTTTCCTTTAAAGCAATCATCATACTTTTAATGATTGTTGGATTAATATCTTCCTCATAATCTGTATTTCCAGTGAGGTTAGGGAGTATTTGGCATTTTGCTTAGCCTTAACAGGAACTTAATACTTGGACAATGAAAAATATAAATTGGTTAGTATGTACTTTTCCTTGTAGCACTTATCACAACTATAACTAATGACTAATTATCTGTATAATCATTAAGCTTCTCCGCTCTAGACTCAAACTCCAGGGGGCAGGAATTCTTTTATGTTTTTTCCTTTCTCTGTCCCTAGCATCTAACTATAGTACCTGGAAAATGGCAAATAAAAAATCATTTCCCCCAAAACAGTTCAAATCCTGGTATCCAGAGTCTGGTAAGCATGGATTTAAAGTTGAGCAAAGCATCTATTGTTCTGCAGTCATGCACTCTAAGACCACATGCCTCAAAGACCTCAATCTTCGCTTCAGAGACTGTAAGAAACCAAGTTTATTCCAAAAGGCAAATGGAACCAAACAAATTCTTCATGGGTTGCCAGAGGCAACAAGTCAGCAACTGCTGTGTGGACTTTGTAAAGTAAAATAGCTCATTATATGGGAATAGTTTACTGGTTCTAAGCATTAAGAACAATTTTAGTTGGAAAGATTGCATTTAATCACTATTGCCTAAATCACTACTAATACTTCATAGCATTCACATTCCTTTTATATACATAGCATATTATACTTGTTTAAATGGAAAAAGATATACTTTGTACTTACCTTGTAATTGCCAGAACTTCCCTGTGGACAAAGCCTGTAGAAATGAATTGCTACAACAGATGAATTGCTACAACAGATGGTCTAGTCCTAAGCTTCTTGCATGAATGGTTTTAGAGTGGTTAAGTTAGTTAGCTTATGTGGGCAGCAAATTCTTTGACATCATAAACTCAGCTACTTGGGCTAAATACCCTTAGCATTAATATTTAACATAACTAATCTCTTTCTCTCCTAGCTTTCTAATCTCTCCTGTATTTACCTAATGTATTAAAAATATATGCTTTTGTTAAGAGTTTTCCACAAGCCCAGGGCTCTTCTTCTAGGAAATAAAATAGTCTCGCACATAGGATGTGCTTAATCAACATAATTAGTTAACTTTCTGATTAGTCTACGAATTTCATTTCTCTTTCATTCATTCAATATATAAACAGTGCAGGTTAAATGTATAAAAAGGACATGATTTAGAAAAGAGCTAAAGACTCAACAGAATTGGAGTTCCTAGTTCTGTTAACTGAAAGGAATAAGAATTAACCAATAGGGGCCACACCTGTGGCTCAGTCGGTAGGGCGCAAACCCAGCCCCGGCCAAACTGCAACAAAAAAATAGCCGGGAGTCATGGCGGGCACCTGGAGTCCCAGCTACTCGGGAGGCTGAGGCAAGAGAATTGCCTAAGCCCAGGAGTTGGAGGTTGCTGTGAGCTGTGATGTCACAGCACTCTACCGAGGGTGATAAAGTGAGACTCTGTCTCTACAAAAAAAAAGAATTGACCAACAATACCAAGCACTCCTATCATGAGGGTTGTATGTAGTCTTATAAATGGCTTTTCCACTGAAGAGGAACCAGTGCTTGTTGGAGAATAAATCATTGATTCTAGGTCTGGGACAGGAAATATACTTGATAAGCTTGGAACAAAATATTGGGGTTGTGTGGAAACTCAGGAGCTGAGTTGAGGAGGCTCCCACTGGCCAAAGATGAGACAATCAATAAAGGTAACAATGGCCTAAAAAACGTACAAGATCCAAGGTCATAATAATAATTAAAAACAAAATTCATTGCCTACCTTTAGAGAATGGCAGAGAACCAGGTCATTATTTTGAAAATTAGTAAATCAAAGGAATTAAGTATTTATCTCTTCCTTTTTCTATATAAACTGTACACCAGGATAATCACATAGCTGATGGCTAGTCTCTCTTCTTAGAATTATTTCAACTAATAACTGAAACTCTATTTTTCAATCCCACAATGAATTCATGAATCTAGGTCTTAACAAGTGGCTGCTAACATCACAGAAACAAACAACCAAACATTAGTGCTTCCTGAATGGATTGACATATCTATGAAGTATTCATGCCAGAAAATTCCAACCTACATGTGATCAAGGTTCTAGGTCAGTGCTCTACAATGGAAACGTAACGTGAGTCACATTATATAATCACACATCCCAAACTAGTCACATTTCAAGTGCTCAATAGCTCTGTGGCTACTATATTGGTTTAAACAGTAACTTATAAGATATACGGGAATAGAGGGATATGTTACCACGAGGATGCAATAGACAAGACTAAGCCTGTAGGAACTCTTTAGGACAGCGGTCCTCAACCTGTGGGTACCAACCCCTTTTAACAATGAAAATACATCGTAGCATTAGATAGGTTGAGAACCACTGCTTTAGGAAAACTATTTTGTCAATAAATGAATTGCAAGAGAAAAAGAAAGCAACAGAGTACAAGAGGGCATAAGAGGCAGCAGGAAGGGGACCTGGAGATCATTAGAAATTTAACACACATCAACATATTGATTGTATTTAGATTAGGACTTGAAGAAAACGTAAAGGATTTATGATATAGGGGAATGTGAACAATGACTGGGTATTTGTGATATTAAGGAGTTATTCATTTCTTTAGATGTTATAATGTGAGATGTCCTGTGGTTAAATTTTTTAAAAAACCATCTAAAGCTATGTATTGAAACATTGGGTGGCCATAAAGTTCGTGTGCAATTTAAAATAGTTTAACACAGTAAACTGCACACAAACTTTATGTTCACCCTGTATAGATTAAGTAATGCCTGGAATTTTCTTCAAACTAATCCAGGGTAAATGGAGATAATATAGATGAAATGAGATTGCCCATGAGCTGATAATGATTTGAAGTTAGATGACCTATGTGGAAAAAGTCATTATACTACTCTCCTTACGTTTGAATATATTTGAAATTTTCCACAGTAAGTTTTAAAAAAGACTGTGGGAGATAAGATTACAATGACATTGCTCACATTCTTGAAAGTTCGATTCATTAAAGACACTATTAAGTCTCTCTTTTTAAATCCATAGAGAACCAGTGGCTACTGCCACCACCACTATACACAGGCAATAAACCAAAAAAAACTTACAAAACAAAACCTGACCAAGTAACAAAAATAACATTTATTTTATTAAAATCTTGCAGAGGCAAATGAGAGCAAAGAGGGACTGATTTTTCTCCACTAGTGGTTAATTGCGGCTGCCTTCTCCTTACGTTCTGCTGCCTGAGTTTTCCTCAGTCTCTGCATCATACTCCCTTCTCCCCATCAATGCAGATGTCTCAGAGGCAAGGCTGTCTGGACATTAAATGTACATCATACAGTTCGTCTCTTTTACTTCTACTCTTCTTGCATCTCATCAGACAGCAAGTGGTCATGATTCTAACAAAAAGGCACACTGGACTGTGGGGTTATGTGAAGGTAATCATATTTTAAGATTAACTCATTCAAGTGGCTCTCATTTCTTGTTAACTCTATAAAGCATAATGCATAAATTAAACAATGCAAATTAAAAGAAAAGGACAAAGACATTAGTATCCTGCCCCAAGAGCTTTCAAGTACAGTTGGATATTACCAAAATTGATGGTCTTCTTTCTTGCTTATCAGAACTGGATTTTGCAAAGTTTGGTGTTCAAGATCACCTTCTTGTATCTAATCCCTATTTAATCAATTTGAATTTTGGAGTGAAAATTTGTTTCATCAATGTGAAAGTGTGTTAAATGATTTGAAAGGCAACAAATTGGGGGCATAGGCTCAAACGAAAAAATAAAAATGATTTTTATTTAGTTTTTCAGAAATATAAATAATTGGCAAAAACCAAAACAGAAAACAAAAAATGACATTGTATGATCATCTCCAAGCACAACAGCATTTATTATTAATGAATATAAAAAATAAATTTTATTATTTTCATTTGTTTCGTCCCTAGCTTTGACTACATGAATGCTTTTGGAAGCCCGAGTTGCTAAGAAAACTTCATAGACTGGCTCCTACAATGTGACTGAGTGAGGTTAAGATCCCACTCCCATAGGGAAAACAATTTCTATCCTCAGGGATTCTGAACAGCTAGACCCCCTAGGAACTTAAAAAACAGGGGTTTTCATTAGGATCCTTCTAACATGGAAAAACAAAGCCATCTTCCATTGAAATATCCAATTCAGGTATAGGAACTCTTCAGATTTTCTAAATTCACATGAATACTAAGGACTATGCCACCAACTATTCTGGCAACCCAGCCTGTAGCCAATGCCATCTCCCTAACTAGCAGCCCTCCAAGCTGTACCAAAACTGAGATTAACAAAACTCAAGATAAAGCATTTTTGACCTTTCCTCCTGAGGAAAGGGCTCTTTGGGTAGAAGGGTAAGGTGGTTTTGCATCAGGCTTGCTTTCACACTTGTGACTGGTGGAAGGGTCGCTAATCAGTATACAGTGAGTATCTGAGTGAACTGGGTGTACTTACCCATCACCATGCAAGGAAGTTAAATTATTAAGTCATTCTAGATTGAGCCCCTTAAAACAGAGGCAAATCAGTGAGCCAAGGTCACTGCCTGTGGTAATAACCTCAGTTCACCTACGTCTTTTCCTGAAGAACCACATTAATCTCTTGATTCAAGAGGCACATCTGGCCAGTACAGAGCACAGAAGGAAAGTATAATTTCAGGACAGGACAATGCCACATGGAGTTTAGAAGTTCCAGTTTAGTGTACAACACAAGATGGCAGCGTCACCAGTATTTACAGCTGGAAAGAACGTTGGATGGACCACATTCCTGGAGCATCTTTACTAATGGAGCTTAATAGCAGTTGCCCAGATGTCGTTGCTGGGGAGCGGGGGAAGGACCCATCCTTGGGGAACGAAGTTGCCTTTGGGATGATCAGATGGCACCAGGTATTGATCCCAATCATGCCTTAATAAGAACATTGTAGAACAAAAGTTTATTTGTTTTATTCCAAACAAGATGTTCAGCAATTAAGTATTCTATTTTTAGTACTTAGTTTTCAAATGACTGACATACTAATTTGCTGTAGAATCTGATTTCTAGAAATTATGCAAAAGATATTTCTTAAACATACACATAAAGGGGAGGAAAAACTCTGAAGCACTTATAACTTCATGGATAACTAAATAATTATACAGTCAACCCTCATTTTTAGCAGAATCTGTATTTGTAAATATACAAATTAGTCATTAAAATTCACTTGTAACCTGCAAGTAATTACTCGTGGCGCTTTTACGGTCACGTGCAAATGTCCAGAGTATTAGAAAATCTGAGTCATCAAAATGCACCTTCTCGGCTGAGGAAGACAAACACTCACTCAGCCCTCTTGTTTTAGTTCCTAGTGCAAACTAGTGTCCTTTTCCATCTATTTAGTGCCATGTTTTTCACATTTTTGTGCTTTTCACTGGTGATTTCATTGTTTAAAACAGCCTCAAGTGTAGTGTTCCTAAGTGCAAGGTTGTTGGCTCAGGCCCTGTAGCTCAGCAGCTAGTGAGCCAGCCACATAGACCGAGGCTGGCAGGTTTGAACCCAGCCTGCGCCTGCCAAACAACAATGACAACTACAACGATAACAACAAAATAGCTGGGCATTGTGGCAGGTGCCTGTAGTCCCAGCTACTTGGGAGGCTGCGGCAAGAGAATCGCTTAAGCCCAATAGTTTGAGGTTGCTGTGAGCTGTGACACCACAGCATTTTACCCAGAGTGACATAATAAGATACTCTGTCTCAACAACAACAACAAAAAGTTGTGAAATGCCTGTGTAGAAAATGTTAGATGAGCTTTATACAGGAATGAGTTAAATACAGTGCTGTGACTGTGAGTTCAATGTTAACAATATACAGAGTATTCCAAAAGTTGCCATACTTAGAGAAGATGGGAAATATAATGACTAGGTATGTTGTAACTAAATGTACTTTTATGTGCAAAATACTCATTATAAAATATTACAAAATATTCTCTACAGGTTGGCCATGTCTTTATAAAACTTTGTAATGAATATTATTAAATAAAGGCAAATTTAGCTACAATTTTGTAGTAATGAATATTTTGTAATGAATATTATTAAATAAATGCACATTTAGCTACAATTTTCCATCTTCCCTATGTATACCAACTTTGGGGACATCCCATATATTGAATGAGGTGTCTTTAAACAGAAATACACCTAAAACAAGGTATTGAGCAGATGACAAAAATGTTGTGAGCAGGGGCTCGCAGGAATCTACCTAACTCTAAGTTTCCCATATTCTGTAATTCAGGGTTTGTAGGGCCATTACAGAATATAGCTGTCATGAATAATGAGAATCAACTGTATTTATATTTAAAACTAAAACTTATTAGCCAAAAACAAAGCTTTTCCTAGAACATAAACTTGGTATGCTAAAGAGCATTCTTTCCTGAGAATCCCCAATTGTTGGGGGTTTTTTGGAAAGGACTTCAGAGGTCACTTTGTTTGGTGATTTTTATAAACCATAAAGAGGGAGTCTAGAAACAACAAAGTGCTTCCAGGACACAACAGATTTAAACGACCTGGGGAGCCCATTCATTTAATTTGTTATATATAATGATTTCTCAAAAGCAGAATTTGGGAATAGTGCTCCTGCTACAGTTTGAAGGCCACATCCTAGTCATCAACTTTATTTTACAGGTGAGGAAAAAGAGACCCAGAGAGCTGAAAACTTTACCCAGCTCATTAGTAACTGCAGATTCAGATGAGGCTCCTTGTTCCCAGGTTTCTGGGCTTTGACCTATAAAGAGCTTAGAAGTCAGCATGGGTCTTAAGCAATTTCCATAGCAAGTACACAGGGGAAGGGTTTCCTTTCCTGGGTCTGTTTAGTACCAGATGACAATGAGGAAAAAGAAGCCAGTGCTTTAAATCAAGAGAACAATTACAACATGAGATAACAGAAAAGGGCAAGTCACAGCCTGAGTTTCAGTTTCTTCACCTGTTAAAATAAAGACATCTATATTTTGGATAAAACAAGATGTAGGTAGCAACCTCAAAACTTGGAAACATTATACCCATAAGGAACTTCTTAAAAGATACAGTAATACACCTCAACAATATAAGCACTTCATCAAGTGCTTCTTGCTACCTAAAGGAAAGGTGACACAGACAGCCAAGCCCTTCTGACCTTATCTGGATGAGTGAAGGCAGGGAGTGCTCAGCTTGGAGGTAATACTGTCGGAAAGGCTGCAAGAGGTGAGCAAGCGGGAACTCGTCTGAAAAAGAAAAGGTACAATATGGCATCATCATACTTGGTACCTAGAGTATGATACAAGTAAGGGGACTGAGCCTATGATTATGACAGTATGATTGAATGCATTTTATCTGTATTCATGAGTTTCACAAATCTCAAATCTGAAGGTGTCATTTGTTGCCTATCACTTCTTAGCTTAAGCTGAGATCATCCTTGATGAGAACTGTTGTCAATCTAGTATTCTTTTCTCTATTAGTTACAGAGAAACTTACCTGGATCCCCAAATAACTTGGACTCGATTTCACGTTTCTGAAGTAAAAATTTCTCTTTTTCTTTTCTCTGTTTCTTTTCTAACTCTCTTTTCCTCTCTTCCTCTTGTTCTCCTTCTAACATAACCCTGAGGGCTCTCTCTTCAGCTTCATACAGTTCAGAGCGCTTTTTAATGAGTTTTCTCAGGCGCTGAAGATGATGCTCAAAAGTCTCATCTGCTGAGGCTGGAGGACAGACACCTGTATAAAAAGAGCCAAGTGGCATTTTAGATAGAACTTGCTCTCATCCTCAAATCCATGTTGTAATGAGCAGACTCAAAGTCCCATCTATTGGTATAAATTTGCTTAGAATTTGGAAATTCTACCCAATCTTTTAAGACTCAATCTGATCTTTTTGTTTTTGAGACAAGAGTCTCACTTTGTTGCCCTTGGTAGAGTGCCATCCCACCGTAACTCACAGCAACCTCAAACTCTTTGGCTCAAGCGATTCTCTTGCCTCAGCCTACCAAGTACCTGGGACTACAGGCGCCTGCTACAACACCCAGATATTTTTACAGACAAGGTCTCGCTGTGGCTCAGGCTGGTCTTGAACCTCTGAGCTCAGGCAATCCACCTGCCTCAGCCTCTTGGAGTGCTAGGATTACAGGCGTGAGCCACTGCACCTGGCCTGATCATGGGTGCTTGAGTGCTCTATATTTTTCTATGTGTGAAATTTTTCATGAAATTTCATAAGGAACGAAATCTAAATTTAATAAATACTTAAATGGACTACAGTTGGGCACTCACTACAGTGATGGCCCTGCAAGCTACTAAAGCTGCTAGGTGACTGAATGCAAAGTAATGTGGGTGTTATCTGGCTGGGCGTGGTGGCTCACGCCCGTAATGGTAGCACTCTGGGAGGCCGAGGTGAGTGGATCACCTGAGCTCACAGGTTCAAGAGCATCCTTAGCCAAAGCAAGACCTCTCCTCTAAAAATAGCCAGGAGTGGCTCGGTACCTGTGGCTCAACTGGCTAAGGCGCCAGTCATATACACCTGAGCTGGTGGGTTCGAATCCAGCCTCGGCCCACCAAGTAACAATGATGGCTGCAACCAAAAAATAGCTGGGCATTGTGGCGGGTGCCTGTAGTCCCAGCTACCTGGAAGGCAGAGGCAGGAGAATCACTCAAGCCCAAGAGTTGGAGGTTGCTGTAAGCTGTGATGCCATGACACTCTACATAGGGTGACAGCTTGAGTCTCTGTCTCAAAAACAAAAGCCAGGCATTGTCGTGGGCGCCTGTAGTCCCAGTTACTTTGGAGGTTGAGCAAGAGAATCGTTTGAACCCGAGAGTTTTGAACCCCAGAGTTTGAGGTTGCTGTGAGCTATGATGCCATGGCACTCTACCAAGGGTGACAAAGTAAGATTCTGTCTCAAAAAAAAAAAAAATGTGGATATGATCTATCCTGTTAGTCCTTGAAGACTGATTAATTGAATGACTAATTTCTTTATTTAGAGACAAGGTCTTACTCTCTCTCATAGGCTGGAATACATAGCTCAGTGTAGCCTCTAACTCCTAGGCTCTAGTGATCCTAAGAAGTTGGGACTATAAGCTTGCAGAGCCATGCCCAGCTACATTTTAAATTTTTTGTAGAGATGGGGTCCTGCTACATTGCCTAGGCTGGTTGCAAACTTCTGGTCTCAAGCAACCCTCCCACCCTGGCCTCCCAAAATGCTGAGTCCTTGAAGATTTTAACAGAAAATGTATTTATTACCCAACCATTTTAACAATACCAACTACAACAATGGTTCTCAACCTTCCTAATGTTGCAACCCTTTAATACAGTTCATAGCAATGAAAATAATTTTATGGTTGGGGGTCACCACAACATGAGGAACTATATTAAAGGGTTGCAGCATTAGGAAGGTTGAGAACCAATGAGCTACAAGGAAGAAAATTTCCACTGCCATAAGCATTTGTTTTCCCATGTTCTCTTCTTGTCCATATTCAACATAATATGGATGTAATGTCCACACCCCCCTTTTGATTCTCTACACTCTTTTCTAGTCTTCATAACTATTTAATAGCTCTACTCTCTCTCATCAAATCAATGTATCATAATATATATACTTAATAAGCTCCCTACTCCTGGACACTTAAGCTATTCCAAATGTCCTATTACTATTTATTGCTACAATAAATACTTTTAAGCATGTTATTTTTTTTTCCTTCCTATGGATTATTGCTATAAGGAAAATTCTCAAGAGTGAAAATGTTTATGGATACTTTCTTTTTTTTTTGCTGTTCCCCTGGGTAGAGTGCTGTGGCATCACAGCTCACAGAAACTACCACTCCTGGGCTCAAGCAAGTCTCCTGCCTCAGCCTCCCAAGTAGCTGGGACCACAGGCACCCGCCACAACGCCTGGCTATTTTTTGGTTGCAGCCGGCATTGTCATTTGGCAGCCCGGGCTGGATCTGAACCCGCCACCTTTCCTTAGGTGTTATGTGACTGGTGCCATAGCCACTTGAGCCACAGGCGCCGAGCCTATGGATACTTTTAATACTACCAAAATGTAGCAATAAACTGCTTCCTAAAAGAGCTATACATTTCCACAATTCCCTAAGACTTGACACAGAAAAGATGATATTTCTTTAATAAATAAATTATTTGTTAAAACAGGGTCTTAACAAATTATGCTGCCACTTGTGAAGTACAATATTGCCAGCTTTGGACACTAAATTTTCAACTTTGGCTGCAAAATGGCATAAAACAATGGTTTCTCAAGTTTCTGTTTTATAGTTCTGTCAATTGTGAAATTTTAGTCTGGAGGTAGAATTTTTTTCTCCTTCAACCACTATAGCTGTGTGGTTATGGAACTCTCTCATTTTCGCCTTTAAGGCTAATATTTCCCCATTACCATTTTCTTATAACTGCCTTGCTAGAACAAGTTTCTAGTCATTCATTCTCAACTATGGAAACTCTAAAACTCAAATTCATCCAAGCATACATGATGTTTTTATACAATGACAAATTTAAGTTTTCACTCTGCTGCTTGGTAATAAATTCATGCTTTTCTTTCTTTACCTTTATAGGTAGTAAATATTTTAGGATTTGTTAAGCCAGTCAGTCTCTGAAATAACTACTAAAATCTGCTGATATAGCAAAAATACACAAATATTCCATTAGCCTTTAGTGGCTGCAGATCCAATGAGGAGATGTGGCTTGCTCCCATCTCAGACTGCTGGGACTGGGCCACCCACCCATCTCTCCCTGGTCAACTTATTCCCTTGGAAATGGCACTCCTTGTCCAGTCTTCCTTTTGACCCCACATACTGGCACCATCTAAGTTCCCCACACCTTTACTACTCACTCCCCTAAACCTGCAGCTCCTAGACATCAATGCCTTCACCTCTATTCCCCTTTATCCACACATACTTTGGGGCCTTGTCTAGTCTTTGGACCTTGGCATGATTAGAAAAATACTTTCCACCTCTAAAGTCTTTTTTTTTTTTTTCAGACAGACTCTTACTATGTCACCCTGGGTAGAGTGCTATGGCATCACAGCTCACAACCACCTCAAACTCTTGGGCTTAAGTGATTCTCTTGCCTCAGCCTTCCAAGTAGCTGGGAATACAGATGCCTGCCACAACACCCGGCTATTTTTTTGTTAAAGTTGTCATTGGTGTTTAGTAGGTTCGAACACACCAGCCCCGACGTATGTGGCTGACACCCTAGCCACTGAGCTACAGGCACTGAGCCACACCTCTAAAGTCTTAATTATTCTCTTCTCTGACTACAACTTTCTCCCCTTCAGTTCTTTTAGTTCCTTCTCCCCAAAGTCCTGTTTGTCAGCTTCACCAGAACTTTGAGACCTGATATATCAGATTCTGTCCTTCTTTTATTCCTTCTCCCAAAACTTGTGGTCATCCCATATAACAAAATCCCAAAAGCACTATGCTCTGCACAGACCTGCCAGCTGCAGAGTGCTTCTGGAAGAAGTTGTCTGTGTGGACTGGTGCCAATATATAGGTATGTCAGCTGGACCCATAGTATTGCCCTGCAACCATTTTCCATGGGTTTCAGGTTGGCTCTTACCCATTCTTCACAGCAGTTATTTCAAACCTTTTCTGCTCTCCTAAAGCCCTACTTCTCTACTAATGCTTGGCAAACCATGTGGCCTGTTTTCCAAGCCAACAGGCCAAAAATCCCTCAATGTTCTGCCTCTGACTGCACTCAACTGCATCACTATACTTGCCTCCTTCATTTTCTTTTCTTTTCTTTTTCTTTTTTTTTTTTTGAGACAGAGCCTCAAGCTATCCCCCTGGGTAGAATGCCATGGCATCACGCTCACAGCAACCTCCAACTCCTGGGCTCAAGCGGGTCTCCTGCCTCAGCCTCCCAAGTAGCTGGGACTACAGGCGCCCACCACAACACCCGGCCATTTTTTGGTTGCAGCCATCATTGTTGCTTGGTGGGCCCAGGCTGGGGACTCGAACCCGCCACCTTAGGTGTATGTGGCTGGCGCCCTAACCGCTTGAGCCACAGGTGCCGAGCCGCCTCCTTCATTTTCACGCTTGTGGAAGATGGGTCCTTCTCCACCTAAATCAATCCCTCCACCTGGGATCTGAATCTCCACCCTATGTGGGACCATAAGCCATCAACTATCCCTCCTACATCTCTCCAGCCCTTCCCCTTCTACTCATTCCTTCCCTTAGCATTGGAACTTGCTCAAGTTTTCCCCACGACCCTATCATACACAATACCTCTCACCACCACTTCCATCGCACACTGCTAGATATTGATCTTGCTCATTTCTTTTCATCAAAGGTAATCTCTTTTTTTTTTGAGACAGAGCCTCAAGCTGTCCCCCTGGATAGAGTACCGTGGCATCACAGCTCACAGCAACCTCCAACTCCTGGGCTCAAGCGAGTCTCCTGCCTCTGCCTCCCAAGTAGCTGGGACCACAGGCGCTCGCCACAACGCCTGGCTATTTTTTTGGTTGCAGCCGTCATTGTTGTTTGGCGGGCCCGGGCTAGATTCGAACCCGCCACCTTAGATGTATGTGGCTGGCGCCTTAGCCGCTTGAGCCACAGGTGCCGAGCCCACAGGTAATCTCTTAATAAGCTGCACTGTTTGCTTTTCTTACCTCTTATTCTAGTCTGGCTTCTACCCCCTTCACTCCACTGAAATGCCCTAGCATAAGTCACTAATGACCTGCTGGATAATTCCCATGGATGGCCTTTATATTACTTGATAATAAAATAATATGAAACACACACATACCATTTACTATGTACTGGGACTGTTTTAAGTACTTTATACATATTTCCTAATTTATTTATTTATTTTTTGAGACAGAGTCTCACTAGGTCACCCTTGGTAGAGTGTGGTGGCGTCACAGCTCATAGCAACCTGAAACTCCTGGGCTCAAGCAATTCATTTGCCTCAGCCTCCTGACAGGTAGCTGGGACTACAGTTATTATTATTATTATTTTTGCAGTTTTTGGCCAGGGGGTGGGTTTGAACCCTTCACCTCTGGTATATGGGGTCAGTGCCCTACTCCTTTGAGCCACAGACACCGCCCAGGATTACAGCTATTTTTTAGAGAGAGGGTCTCCTTCTTGCTCAGGCTGCTCTTGAACTTATGAGCTCAAGCAATCCAACCCACCTCAGCCTCCCAGAGTGCTAGGATTACAGGTATGAGCCACCAAAACTGGCCCTTACCAAATCATTTTGCATTCAAGTCAACTCCACAGAGGATGCTTATTTTTATAGATCATAATTCTCCTATAATTTCTTCCTTCTTCTGGATAAAAATGAAGAAGTCCAATATTGAAAAATGTTGGAAAATTCACTTGGCAGTTACTGAGCACTCATCTCACAAGAATGTGAAATGTAAGAATATTAAATAGTAACCTTCAGGCTGTGCTTTCTAGTAAGAGAGATGGGTAGAGACAGCAGACACTAACTCCCCTCTAGGACTTACAAGTACCCTAACAGTACCACAATAGGGTCATCTGATTCAGAGGCCTGAAAATTTGAATTAGCCACTCTGAAGGCTGGTGAGGAGAAGCCAATCACTTAGCTAGTGAAGGAGCCTGAGTGAACACAAAATGGTCACATTCCAACAAAATTTCATTAAGGGTTTAAAACAATCAATTTTGGCTGGGTGCGGTGGCTCACACCTGTAATCCTAGCTCTCTGGGAGGTCAAGGTGGGAGGATCCCTTGAGTTCGGGAGTTCAAGACCAGCTTGAACGAGAGCAAGACCCTATCTCTAATAAAAATCCAGGAGTCTGGGCAGTGCCTGCGGCTCAGTGAGTAGTGCACTGACCCCATATAACAAGGGTGGCGGATTCAAACCCGGCTCCAGCCAAACTACAAAAAAAAATATCTGGGCATTGTGGCAGGCGCCTGTAGTCCCAGCTACTCAGGAGGCTGAGGCAAGAGAATCACCTAAGCCCAAGAGCTGGAGGTTGCTGTGAGCTGTGACACAACAGCACTCTACTGGGGCAAGAGGAGATTGCCAAAAAATAAATAAATAAATAAATAAAAATCACAGTTTTCATTTACATTTTAAACCACACAGGGATTTGGTTTGTTAGAGTGGCATCTGCTAATTTGTGTACGCTTAAATACCCAATGCCAAAGGCCTACAATCTACTATTAACAAATATGGCAGCAGTATATAGTCTAATTCAGGTGCAAGTTAAGAAGGAATAGGTCACCTTAGCTCAGACCGGGAAGGATGAAGATGTTGTATCTGTGTTTGGTTTTGAAGGATAGTGAGATCTTTTTTTTTTTTTTTTGAGACAGAGCCTCAAGCTGTCCTCCTGGATAGAGTGCCGTGGCATTACAGCTCACAGCAACCTCCAACTCCTGGGCTCAAGCGAGTCTCCTGCCTCCACCTCCCAAGTAGCTGGGACCACAGGCGCCCGCCACAACGCCCGGCTATTTTTTTGGTTGCAGCCGTCATTGTTGTTTGGCGGGTCCAGGCTGGGGATTCAAACCCGCCACCTTAGGTGTACGTGGCTGGCGCCCTAGCCAGTTGAGCTATAGGCGCCGAGCTGGATAGTGAGATCTTAAAATGGCAAAGATGAGACTGAGGGCTCACAAGAGTAAAAATCTAGATAGGCATATGGAAGACACAACTGTGTAATGTCTAAAAAACCAGCATGGCTGGAACAAACATTTGTGAAGAGGCTTAGACTATTTAGCTATGGTATCTGGTGTTTTTTCCAGAGGCAAGAGAAGACCAGTGAGGTCTGCTGAGTCCAAAAGTGACATGCAGGGAAGATAGAGATATCCATGGAGTCTACAAGGAACTCTCTGCTCCATCCAACAATTGATACCTTTCCAAATTGCAGTAATTCAGGTTTAAAATGTATCTGAAGGAGCATGATAAGTTTTTAAAACTTTCCAGTGCATCAAATAAGGTAGGAAAGCTTTTAGCTTGGTGCATGGGCAAAGTTGACCAACCGCAGCAAGCACATTCAGCAAAGTGTGAACAGGAACGCCTAAGGTAGGAATGATGAATCAAGAGGAAGATAATGCAGCAGGTTGCCACGTCTGCCTCTTTTTCTAACCCTGGCTACCAAAGGCTAAACATCTGAGGTTTCCTGCTCCAAAGCTTTTGAGCTACGGCTGACAAGCCCAGTTATACTACAGGGTGAACATAGTGAGGTTTCAAATACTTTTCCTTCAATAATATTTGAGGTAGGGCGGCATCAGGATCAAGAAGAAATGCAAATCCACAGTTACCTTTCCTTGCTGCAGCCTCTTTCCTCAGTTTCCTCAGTTTCTCCAAAGCCCGAAGAATGTCTACCATTCTTTTGGTGTCTGCTTGCTTTTTCCTCACTTCAGATAATACACCATCAGCAGCAGCTTTGAGTTCCTGCTCCTGGAGGAGAAACAAAGTCCCTGAGACCTAGTATTAGGACAACTTCATAGTAAAGCTTCCTGGTGGTTAGATTTCAAAGAATCAGGGATAAGAGAGACTCTACTGAATCTGTATCTCAATTTCCAGGGACTTACCCAACTCCCCTTGTCCCTTCTACTGATGGTGCAACCTTAACCTTAAAGGAGTACCTCTCCTCTCTAAAGATTCCACGTGAGCACTGCTTTTCGTTTCTTCCTGAATGTTTCTCTAAGTGTGGTCCAGGAAATAGCTGAGTCCAATTTACCTTACCTTATTTAATTGGGACTCTTTTGTTAAAAAATGCAGATTTCCAATGAAGATGGAATGGGGTTGGAAAGGCAGCTAACTCTCCAAAGGTCTCTTAATGACAACCTATGCATAGTAGAAAAGTAGAAAAATAACTAGCTGGAAATGGTAGCACATGTCTGGAGTCCCAGCTACTCAGGAGGCTGAGGCAAGAGGATCAGTTGAACCCAGGAGTTTGAGGCTGCTATGAGTTGCAAGGATGCCATGGCACTCTACCAAGGGTGAAGGAGTGAGACATTGTTTAAAAAAGAGAGAGAGAAAACTTTAGACAAGAGGATCCTCTCTACCACTTATAGTAAAGATACTGGAGACAGAGTCTCATAAGGAGTGACTTAAGGAACTGGGTTATTGAGCCTACATGTGAACTAATTCAAGAAGAGTAGGATAGGGATCTTCATTTTTATTTATTTTTTATTTTTTGAGACAGAGTGTTAGGATTACAGACCTGAGCCAACGTGCCTGGCCCTAAAGTTCTCTCTCCCATCTGTCAAATAAAGTCCACCATTACAGCCAACACAAACCTGCTTGGATTACTCTCTCTGCCTGGAAGTGCACCTGTTGCCTTCACCCAGCTTTGTATTTCCCTCATGATTAAGCTCAAATGTCATTATAGCATTAAGAAACCTTTACCCCAACACATTAGATATCTCTTCTTTGGACACCTACAGTTGAAATCCTAACACATACCGTGCTTTACTGACATGATCTGCCATGGGTCTCTAAGCCCTTTAAGAAGACTGTTTCATAATCATTTCTGTCCCCTCTATCCAGCACTGGGTCCAGCACAAAATAGGCTGTCATTAAATGTCTGCTCAACTAACCCAAATTCCCTCAGGTTAAAGTGTTGCCTTTCCAGGCATTCTCCTTTTAAATTAATGATATTCCTGATTGTGCAATGACAAGGTTTGCCATCAATATACGTTTTTATAGTAAGTTATTTCAAACTCTAGGGCAGTAGCAGACAGAGACATTTGCTGACTGTGGAGAGTGGAAGAAGGAGCTACGAGAATCCCAGAGGCACTCAAAGTCAACAAGAATAACTTAAACAACTATTTAAACAATTTCGAATTTCACCCCGGCCCTACATAAGAGCTTGAGAACAATAGGCTTTGGAATCAGACAACCTGGGCTCATATATGGAGTGAAACTGCCAGAAAGTGGTTGTATGATTGTTGGTAAGTTAACCTCTCTACACCTCAATTTTCTAATCTGTAAAATTGGGATGATCCCTTCTACTTCCCTGGGTTGTTAAAAAGATTCAAGATCTGGGCAGCACCTGTTGCTCAGTGGGTAGAGCACCAGCCACATACACTGAGGTTAGTGGGTTCAAATCCGGCCCGAGCCAGCTAAAGGACAACTGCAACAGAAAAATAGCTGGGCGTTGTGGCAGGTGCCTGTAGTCCCAGCTACTTGGGAGGCTCAGGCAAGAGAATCACTTTAAGCCCAAGAGTTGGAGGTTGCTGTGAGTTGTGACGACGCAGCACTCTACCCAGGGCAACAGCTTGAACTCTTGTCTCCAAATAAATAAATAAATAAAAATTCAAGATCTAGTGTTTCCAACTTTAGCATCGCTCCTACTTTATAAAAAATGCCCAGCTGTTTACAAGTTTTAAGCCATATACCTCCAGGTTCTGCACAGTCACTTGAGGCAAGGAATTTGAGACCTGCCTGGGGATCAATATAGGGGAGACTCCATCTCTTAAAAACCGAAAAATTAGCCACAGTGCTGTAATCCTAACATTCTGGGAGGGCAAGGCAGGTGGATTACTTGAGCTCAGGAGTTCAAGACCAGCCTGAGCAACAGCGAGATCCTGTCTCTATTAAAAATAAAAAAAACTCTCCAGGCACTGTAGTGGGCACCTGTAGTTCCAGCTACTGGAGAGACAGAGGCAAAAAGAGTGCTCAAACCCAAGAGTTCGAAGTTGCTGTGAACTGTGATGCCAGAGTACTCTACCCAGGGTGACAGAATGAGACGCTATCTCAAAAAAAAAAAAAAAAGCGAAACTTAAAATATTAGCTGGGCATGATGACAGACACCTGCAATCTCAGCTAACAGGGAGGCTGACGTGGAAGGATTGTTGGAGCCAGGCGTTTCAGACTGCAGTAAGCTTGGCCGCACCACTATACTCCAGCCTAGGCGGCAAAGCAAGACTGTCTTTTTAATAACACAACCGCCTATCAGCCAATGAGAATATATATATCCCTCGGGGAAGGGCCCCCAAGCTCTCTATATTTTGTATTCTTAAAATCACCCGGGGCAGTAGAAGACTCGAGGACTCAAAGTTCTTAATCTTGAAAGTTAGTGTAAGTGGACATGAGTTGGAGCAGGAGAGGAGCCCTGTCATTCCTGCAACGCCACCGTATAATCCTGTACTTTTATGTTTACAGGAGTTTACAGTGCACCCGATTTGCGTGTCACACATCACCAACACGCAAATAACAGAAAGGTATGATGCGGCAAAGCTATCTATCATTTCATCTTATAGCTAAGGAAACAGAGGCTTAACCTGGGAAATAGCAGCTTAAAAGTTTCACACTGTTTGGTTCCAACCATCTCATCCCTAACCCCAGGCGCGTCCTCTATTCTCACCCGCTTCTTCTCCTCCACCTCCTGCACACACTTGACCCTCCAGCGGTCAATCTCCTGCTCGCGTTCCGCTGCCCGCGCGGCCGCCTCCTCCCGTTCGGCCTCGCGTTCCCGGGCCCTCTCGCGAAGCCTCAGCCGGCGGCGCCGGACCCTCTCCAGCCTCCGCCGCGCCTCGCCCACGTAGGCGGCCTGGGTCAGCGGCTGCAGCCGCTCGGCCAGTTGGGCGCGCAGCGGCGCGGCCTGGGCATGCAGCAGAGCCCAGGCGGCGCCGTCGGCCTCGGCCTCCCGCAGGGCCTGGCTCAGGCCACGCAGCCGCCGCACCAGGCGTAGTACCTCGCGCACCCGCGCGCGCACTTCGCCTAAGCTGGGCCCGGCGTGAGTGCGCTGCGGCACCCGGCAGGCCCGTCGCGGGGTCCCGAACACCGCCTCCAGCCACTGCCGGTCGCGCAAGCGCTGGAGGACCGCGTCCCCGAGCACGTCCGACGGCGGCGGCGTCTCAGGCCAGCGCGGGCTCCACGGCGGCCCCGGGCCGGGAGGCGGCGGCCGCGGGCGCTCGCCGGTGTCGGTCCCCGGGAAGGGCCGGCACTGGGGCTGCGGCGGAGGCAGTGGCGGCGGCGGCACCGCGTAAAAGGCGCCGCCGCCGCCTCCACCCGAGGTTTCCGCGGGGGCGCGGGGCTGCAGAGACAGCGGAGGCTGGAGGAAGGGGGCGGAGGCCCCCGGAAAAGGGCCGGGCCGCTGGGGAAGAGGCGGCGGGAAAGCAGGGGAGGGCAGCGGCGGTGGCGGACAGCTAAAGGGAGCGGGAGGCGGCGGCTGCGTGGGCGGCGGGCCCGGGCGTCCCGGGGCGAAGAAGGGAGGCAGAGCCATCTTCCCGGAGGAGGCGCTCTTGAGAAGTGACAAGAGATCTCAGTGGGTTTTCGGGAAGAGTCTTCTGGTCGGAAGTGACGTAGACGACGCGCGACGCTAATACACACGCCCCGCCCTAAAGCCCGGTGCATAGCTGAACATTGGTTCAGCCTTCAATCTGTCAATTCGTAAATACTGATATTTGGGGGGGCGGGGGAGCACACCTATCCCCCTCCCTCCGCCCCTCTCTTCGGACCCTCATTCCTCCTCCACCACCTACCCCCGCTTTGAATGGAATTGAGTTTTTCTCTTTATGTGGGAGAGTATTAGATCATCTACTGGCTTCCTATTAGAATTGAGTACATGGATATTTGCTTTTCCATTCTTGTTATACTTTACTAAGAAGAATGTGTTTCAACTCTTATCCAGGTTAATACAAAAGATGTAAAGTCCCCATCCTTTTTAATGGCCGAATAGTATTCCAATATATAAAACAGTTTGTTAATCCATTCCTGGGTTGGTGGGCATTTAGGTTGTTTCCACATTTTGGCAATTGTAAATTGAGTTGTGATAAACAGTCTAGGCAAATTCCTTATGATAAAATGATTTTTTTCTTTTGGGTAGATGCCTAGTAATGCGATTGCAGGATTAAATGGGAGGTCTAATTTGAGTTCTTTGAAGATTCTCCGTATTTCTTTCCCAAAAGGTTTATTAGTTTGCAGTCCCACCAAGAGTGTAAAAGTGTACCTTTTTTTCCACATTCACGCCAGCGTCTGCAGCTGTGAGATTATTAATACTGTTTTTACTGTGCATCCTAGGTGTAGAGTTGCTTGTTCCTCCTACAGCAAGACTAAGATACAGATCTTTTCGTGAAATTACCTATCTAGTAAAGAAACCACATTACTCAGGTACTTGTGCAACTGTGGAAGTTCAATGGTGAATATTTGACAGAGGTTGGGGAAGGTTGCAGAATTTGAAACTTCAGCTAAGAACTAAAAGATAAATATGAGTTAGAGTATTTAGAAGGAAGCACAATCTACATAGGAACAATATGTGCAAAGGTCCCTTAGTAGACAGGAGTATGTCTAGTGGGAGGACTGACAGAATGCTAGTTGTGAATGAAACACAGAAAGGCTGGCTCAGCGCCTGTGGCTCAAGTGGCTAAGGCGCCAGCCAAGTACACCCATGGTGGCAGGTTCGAATCCAGCCTGGGCCTGCCAAACAACAATGACGGCTGCAACCAAAAAATAGCTGGGCATTGTGGTGGGCTCCTGTGGTCCCAGCTACTCGGGAGACTGAGGCAGAAGACTCACTTGAGCCCCGGAGTTGGAGGTTGCTGTGAGCTGTGATGTCACGGCACTCTACCCAGGGGGACAGCTTGAGGCTCCTGTCTCAAAAAAAAAACAGAAAGGCTGAGGGGAGTTGCGTGATCTTGGGGGAGGGACAGAAGCCATATTGTCCAGGGTCTCATATCTTAAGAACAACAAGAAACTATTGGCTTTAAGCAGAAGATGAAGGGTAGGCCAAGCCACATGATTATATTTTTTAAATTAAACTCTTATTTTGAGACAATTGTAGATTCATAGGCATTGTAAGAAGTAATACATGGAGATTCTGTGTACCTTTAACCCAGTTTTCCCTATTGGTAACATCTTGCAAAACTGTAGTACAATGCCACAATCAGGATATTGACATTGATACAGTCAACATACAGAACATTCCCATCACTGCCAAGATTCCTCATTTCCCTTTTTATAGTCACACCCACTTCTTTTCCTTAGGCCCATCTTCTCCTTAACCACTACCAATTGCTACTCTATTTCTGTACTTTTTGTTGGTGGCTCATACATGCCATCTTAGCACTTTGGGAGGCCAAGGGGGTATGATTACTTGAGGCCAGGAGTTCACATCTGAGCAAGATCAATAGAAAAATTGATTGTCTCTACAAAAAATAGAAAAATTAAGCAGACGTGGTGGTATGTCTTTTTTTTTTGTTAGGTCACCCTCAGTAGAGTGCTATGGCATCATGGCTCACAGCAACCTCAGACAAACTCTTGGGCTCAAGTGATTCTCTTGCCTTAGTCTCCCAAGTAGCTGGGACTACAGGCACCCACCACAAGGCACAGCTATTTTTTTAGTTGTAGTTGTCATTGTTGTTTAGCAGACTCAGGCGGGGTTCAACCCCACCAGCCCAGTGGATGTGGCCAGCGCCCTAACCACTGAGCTATGGGTGCTGAGCTATGGTGTTTCTGTAATCTCAGGTACTTGGGAGGCTGAGGCAAGAGGATCACTTGAGCCCAAGAATTTGAGGTTGTTGTGAGCTATGATGACACTATGGCACTTTAGTTTGGGTTACAGAGTGAGACTGTCTCAAAAAAAAGAAAAACACTATATTTTCTAATTTGCATGTTGCTGACAATGCAAATTTAGACCCAATGGACTAGTTTTCCAAGTTGCAAACTCTTATAAGCACACTCAGTGAGAGATGTATGAAATTTGTTTCCAATGAAACATTATTTCAGCTTTGATGAATGTGTGGTGCCTTATTTTGGTTGTCACAGGTGCAAACAATTTATTACAGGAACGCCTATTGCTTTTGGCTATAAGTTTTGGTGTGGTGCAACATGTCTCGGCTACATTAGCTGATTTCAGCCATATCAGGGTAAGAATCCAAATACTAAACATGAGGAATGCAGAATTTGTGCACTACTTGTCCTTCAATTTAGTGAGGCACTTACAGAGGCACATCCTGAAGAAAACCATTTTGTATTTGATCACTTTTCCACCAGTATTGCACTTCTTGATAAGCTCACTTCAATGGGACATCAGATAACAGGTACAGTGGGAAAAGGATCGCATTGACAAAATTCCGTTGGAATCACATGTATCTCTGAAGAAAAAACAAGGCACATTCGATTATTGAATTGATGGCAAAGGCAATGTTGTCTGCAGATGGAACTTACACAGTATTGCCACTTTTGCCTCATCTGGTGCTGGTATGGATCATGTGTCTTGTCGATTGCTATTCCCAGAAACAGAAAAAGAAGATCCAAGATCAGCAGCCAAAGATGATCAAAGTGTATAACCATTTCATGGGAGGCATAGCATAGGCAGAGCTAATGGCAACATTGATAAGTATTGGGCATCAATCCATGGAAAGAAATGGTATTCAAGTCCTCTTTTGTTCTGTTAAAATTGGTCTTACAAAATGCTTGGCAACTGCATAAAACATGGCAAGATTTTCAATAGATTTTCTGGAGTTTTTCTCAACATGTGGTATGCCATTATCTGGAGACCCATGGTCATCCTCCAGAACCTAGCCAAAGAGAACAACCTTCTCAGAAGTGTTGACATTGACTCACATTATGATGGCATGAATCATGTGATAGTCAAACAGGGAAAGCAAACTTGGTGTGCTGAATGTCATAAGAACACCACTTTTGGGTGTGAAAAATGTGATGTTGCCTCACACGTGAAGTGTTCTGTTGAATATCACACTGTCGTAGGTGTCACCACCTCTTGAGATAAGAAACATGATTTATACATTATGTACAATGTATCCCTGGCTTTTGCCTAGCATTCCATTTTTTGGACACACCATAACAATGTAATATAATAAAATTTTTTTCTCTTCAAATTCTTGTTCCTTGACTTTTTCTAGGTAACATGTATGAATTTCATCAAAAAAATTAAACATTTTCAGCCTCCAGCATAAATGGGTTAAACTCTAATAATGCTCCACTTTCTGCAAAAAATTGAACTTAACACACAAAGCATTCTATTGTTTAAAAATATATGGAGCAGACCCAGCATAGTGGCTCACACCTGTAATCTTAGCACTCTAGGAGGCTGAGGCAAGTGCATTGCCTGAGCATACAGGTTTGAGACCAGCCTGAGCAAGAGGGAGACCCCCATCTCTAAAAATAGCTGGGAGTTGTGGCAGGTGCCTGTAGTCCCAGCTACTTGAGAGGCTGAGACAAGAGAATCGCTTGAGCCTAGGAGTCTGAGGTTGCTGTG